TTTTGAAGCAGTGCAGGTTCTGGACCAGCTGTTGGCATTTCACGCGCGGCCGTCGCATCAGTGACCTAGGCCCTGGGGCATGACAGAGGGGGTGTGGGGGGGGGGCGCCTCGTGGCCCCAGGCGCACGTGCGCAGAGGCCCGATTTAGGGGGGAGGAGGAGGGGGAGGAGGAGGAGGAGGAGGAGGAGGAGGAGGAGGAGGAGGAGGAGGAGGAGGAGGAGGAGGAGGAGGGGAGGAGGGGGAGGAGGAGAGGGAGGAGGAGAGGGATGAGGAGGGGAGATTCGTGTTTTCTTTCGGGGTCTTCGGAGGCCTCCAGGCAGTTCTGGAGGGCTCCGCAGACCATGTGTAAGGACTACCAGGGACCTTCAGAGGCCTCTTGGGAGGAGAGAGGGATAATGGGGGTACGATGGAGAAGGAGGGGGAAGAAACATGATCAGGATGAGGAGGCCAGAGGATGATGCCCACGGGGTAGAGCGCTTGTGTCGTGCCACGAACGCCCCCGCGCGCGCCCCCGCGCGCGCCCACGCCTCGGCCGCGGCTCCGCGCGCCGAGGCAGCCATTCAGGCCTCACCACGCGCGGCTCGCAACAGCCTGGCGACCTTGGCGGCCAAGCTCGGCGAGCAGCTGCGCTCTCGCGCGCGGCGCCGCGGGCGCGGCCCGCCGCCGCCGCCGCTCGCGGCCCCCGCATCGCCTCCCGCAGCAGGGCCCGCAGCAGGCAGCTGGCCCTCCTCCTGCAGTCTGGCCACCTTGGCCACTCGACTCGGCGACGGCAAGGGACAGCACGCGCGCACGCGTCGCCGCGGGGGCGACTTGCCTCCTCCTCCGCCAGCAGGCATCTCCGCCAGCGCGGTCTCCAGCACGTCAACGTCGCCATCCTCAGAGCCTCTCGCCAGCGGCTGGCTCTCACGCCCTGGAGGCGCCATGGCGGCCAGCCTCGGCGAGCTGCTGCGCTCGCGCGCGCGGCGCCGTGGGCGTGGCCCGCCGCCGCCGCCACCCGCGGTCCCCACCTCGCCTCCTGCAGCTGGGCCGCCAGCAGGCAGCTGGCCCTCCGCCTGCCGCCTGGCCACCTTGGCCACGCGGCTCAGCGACGGCGAGCGACTGCGCACGCGCTCGCCACGCCGCGGGGGCGAGCCACCACCGCCTCCGCCATCAGGCGGCTCCGCGAGCGTGGCCACCTGCTCGTCCACGCCTCCAGCCTCAGCTCTGGCCGCCAGCGGCTGGCCCTCACGCCCGCGAGGCACCTCCTCATCCAGCAGCTCCCCGCTCTGGTCGCCGAGGCGCGCGATGACAACCGGCACCGCGCTCGCCGTGCGGGGGGCGAGCCCCCGCTTCAGCTTGGCCACCACCGCACTGCCAGCTGCGGATGGCGGCAGCTTGCACTCGCTGCCGAAGCTGCAGGCCCTGGCGGCGCCCGCAAGCCCGCAGAGGCGGCAGGCGATCAGCGGCATCTTGCGCTCCAGCTGCTCGTCCGCGACACGGCGGAGGACGACCAGGTCGTGGGCGGCGAGCCCCTGCTGTCTCAGCCTCCTGTTGGCTCTCGCCGCGTCCGCAACGATGGAGCCTGGGCATTCACCTGCCCTCTCCTCCCACCTGCAGACCTCGCACCACCTGGGCTGGCCAGGCTTGCCGCGCCAGGTGCAGGCCACCTGCGCGGCTGCCGCACGCCGCTCAGGATGAGCTCGCTGCTGCTTCGCCTTGCCGTGCGTGGTGTCGCTGCCGTCGAGCCAGGTGCCCACCGCGGAGCACCACATGGCGACCCTGTCGACGAGGCCTCGGCTCTGAGCGAGCTGCTGGCGCTCACGGCCAGGCAGGCCACGACCAGCACCGTGTCGCCGTTGCCGTACTTCAGCGCCATGACCACCGCCGTGAGCTCGCTGCCGTTGATGTCGACATACGGCCCAACCACTTGGCCAGCGATCGACGTTCTGTAGCCGTCCCCATCCTCGAGCGGCGCGATCACGCTCCAGCCCGCCGACGTGAACTCGCCGTAGTCCGCCTCAAACACCGAGCCGTCCAAGAACAGCTCACCCGCTGGCAGAACTCCTCCCTCGTGGCAGCCCTTCCAGCAGACCAAGTCGCTGGCCTGAGGCTTGCGGATCCCCTTCGGCGCAGCCACGGGCACCTCCCCAGCAGCAGCTGAATACCGGGCTCCTGCCACCTCCTCCTGAGGTCCGCTAGGTCGGGGGGCATGACCAGCACATCCTGCCAGCTAGCACAGTCACAGTGCCTGTGCAACAGGGTGCCCTCCAACCCGCACCTCAGGCAAGCAGCGCTGCTTGCCAGCCCTTTCTCCGCCTTTCTTGCCTGCGCCCGCTGCCCATTGACAATGAGGGACCGCAGGTGCGCCTTCTCGTGCTGTGTGAGCCTCACCTTGACCATGCCAGCTCCTCCTCCTCGTCGACCTTCTGGGCAGCGCGCTCTACCTGTGGTGGTTAGCCTCACCGGCGGCTCCAGCTCTCCTCCTCCTGCTAGGTGGCTACACCCAGGGTCCTTGCTGACCTGCCTCCACTGCCACCGCTGCGCGCCACGCATGACCAGCTCGAGCACGACCCACGGCGCGTAGTCGAAAGGCGCGATGGTGGCGCCGCCGTCCATGACCCAGCTGTTGGCCGCCGCCACCTCCCAGCCGATCCTCCGCAGCCACATTGCCGTCGCCGCGCGCGGCCCCTGGACGTGGGTCCAAGTTGTGGCCCGCTTGTCCTGCAGGCAGCGGACAACCATGTGGAGCGGCACCCAGTCCTCCCACACCGCCCGCAGCAGCATCCTCACGGGCATGCAGGTCGCGTCGATGATCGGGCCAAGCCCAGGCTGGAGCAGGAGCTCCAGTGACCTGCTCTTGCTCGCCGTGGTGTTGGACACCGCCACGAACGTCAACGTCCTGGCGCGATCCAGCTCGCCCATCGCGCACCCTGTGATGGCCGTGCCGTAGCCGATGCTCGGGTGCAGCCCCGTCTTCACCACCCTCTTCGTGGCGATCCTCTTGGCCTTCACCATCTTGAGCACCTTGCACTTCCTTAGCCTCTGCCCGGCCTGCTGGAAGCGGCCCGCGCGCACGGCCCGCCCCAGCCTCTTGCCCCCGCTGAAGTCGACCCCGAGGTTGCGCTCCTGCCTCGCAGCAAGCACCCCTAGCGGCTTGCGCAGCCTCCTCTCCAGCTCCTGCCTCGCCTCAGGCACGTTGGCGAGCGCCCTGGGCTTCTTGGCCGCGACCGCCAAGCCCACCTCGCCGAGCAGGGCCTTGAGATGCCTGGCCGCTGTCGTGATCTCCCCGACGGCGCGCTGCAGGCCGCCAGCCCTCCTGATGATGATGTCATCCACCACCGCCGAGAGGGCCACCGACGGCGCCAGCGCCTGCAGCCTGTCCAGCGGCTCAAGCAGCAGCATCTTGAGCATGAGCGTCGCCAACCCATCCCCTGGCAGCACAGCCTGCTCCGTGTAGATGGCGTTGCTGACCGCCTCGTCGCGCGCCAGCCATCTGGCCGACCTGTGCAGGCTGATCTGCAGCTTGAGTTGCCACAGCGGAAGCCCTGTCCTCCTGGCGGCCACCTGCTCGTACGCCTTGAGCAGGTCCAGGAGCACGAGCGCGGCTACCCAGCTGGAGGCGTCGCCTGCTTCGCGCACCTTGGCCGAGGCCCACTCGCACTCCACCGTCTGCTGCCAGACCGGCCTCTCGTATCCTTTCCCTCTGGACGCCCAGAAGAACGGCCTATCGTTCCTGCGCTCCCAGTCTACTGCTGCTGGCCTGCGCAGCCTCGACTGTATCCTCGCAAGGACGTGGACGATGGCCACTGGCCTCACTCCCCCCAGCCTCTTGGCCAGGAAGACGATATGGTTGTGGAGCTGCGGCCGCTCCGCCGCCTGCTCGACCGCCATCGCGACATCAATGAGCGTCTCGAGGCCCTCATCGCTGAGCTCCAGCAGCTGCCGCGGCTTGACCGCCTCGAAGCTCGCCGCGGTGCCCTGCCTGAGCGTCCGCAGCACCGACCTCATCTCCTCTACTGGCGGCCTGCCAGGCCTCTCGCCCAGGTCGTCTGGCCACTCCAGGTCCTCATGGGCGCACTGCGCCCGCCAGAGCTTGCCCCACTCCTGCTCGAGGACATCCAGCTCCTGGCACAGGCTGCTTGGCCCAGCCGAGGAACTGCAGTCGCTGCCCTGCCAGCCCACGGCCACCCGAGTGACCGCATGCAGACCGCCTGCTCCTCCCTTCAGCTGCTTGTCTACCCACTCGTCAAACTTCCTGCCGCGCTCGTCGATGTCCCGCTTGGCCAGCTGGTGAGCGTGCAGCTTGGCCGGTCTGGCCAAGGGCGCTAGGGCCACGGGGCCCCAGCGCGCGAGCCCCGCGTGTTGCAGCGCCCGCAGCCACCTGCCTGCCTCCGCGCTGGTGTGGCTGCCTCCCTGCTCGCTGCCGTAGCCGCCCTGCTCCTCAGCCTCGGCCTGGTCTTGCCACTGCCTGACCCTCTGAGGCACCAGCGCTGCCAGCTTGGGCAGGAAGTCGAGCGCGTCAATCCTACCTCGAGGCGCCTGGGCGCGGCCCCAAGAGTGCTGGCCACCCTCACCATCCACGCCGCCTCGGGTGTGCGCCTGGGTGCCCGCGGTTCCTGGATCCCACTGCGCCGCACCTTCTTGGTTGAGAACCCCTGCGCTCTGCCCACGTGCCTGGCCCTCTGCTCCTCCAGCTCGTACACGTCCAGCCATTCCGCCTCGGCGCACTCCAGGAAGGTGGCGAAGGCGGAGGTGAGGGCGTCCTTCGCGTCTGCGCCCTCGCTCTCCACAACGCCCTCTCCTCTGCCCTGCTCTTGCTCCGCCTCCACCTCTGGCCCCCACGGGAGGGGGGCGGTCCCCTGTCCCCAGAGGCTGGGGGGCCTCACGTACGCTCCTTCAGCCACTTCAACCTGAAAGGGACTACCCGCGATTCCGTGCGGTGCCTGGCTCGGATGCGTACTGCCAGTCCCAGCATCGGGAGGTGAGCCAGGGCAATCACCTTGCTCCTCCTGCGTCGCCACCTCCACGACCTCCTTCAGCCCACGCGGCATCCCGCAGCTCTGAAGCGCGTCGTGCCAGGCCGCTCCGTGCTGCGCACAGCACCTGCCCAAGCTGCGTGCTGATACCTCGGCGGCCAACACAGGCGGAGGTGGCAGCACGGTGCTGAGGGGGCCCCACTCCGCCCACTGCAGCCGCTCTCATCCCACCTCCAGGACCTCACTCTTGTCTGCCTCACACGCCAGCCCGACCAGCTGGCCTTGCCCGGCCGCCCTCTCTGCTCTGCTGACGAGCCTCGGGCCCTCCTGTGGTTCTTTCGAGGATGCCCAGGGCAGCGCCTCGGGGCCACCACCTTCCCTCTGCCCACTGCCGTTGGCCTGCAGCCCGTGGTTTTTTCCGAGGATGCCGTCGGCAGCGCCTCGGCGCCACCACCTTCCTGCCTCGCTTGGCCTCCAGTCGGCCTCGGCGCCGCCTTTTTGCGGCCTCCCTTGCTGGCCCTCGGCGGCGACCAGCATGGGTGCCTCCTCAGCGTGGCCAGCGTGCGCCTCAGCCTCCTGTGGTTTTTTTCGAGGATGCCCGCGGCAGCGCCTCGGGGCCACCACCTTCCCTCCGCGCACGACATCATGCAGGCCTCCTCCGCCTCACGTGGTTTTTTTTCGAGGATGCCAGCGGCGGCGCCTCGGGGCCACCACCTTCCCACCTCACTTGGCCTCCTGTCGGCCTCTGCGCCGCCTTCCTGCGGCCTCCCTTGCTGGCCCTCGGCGGCGATCGGCATGGGTGCCTCCTCTGCGTGCCCAGCGCGCGCCTCAGCCTCCTTTTTTTTTTCCCCCCCCCCCGAGGATGCCAGCGGCAGCGCCTTGGGGCCGCCACCTTCCCTCCGCGCGCGACATCATGCTGGCCTCCTCCGCCTCGCGTGGTTTTTCGAAGGATGCCCAGGGCAGCGCCTCGGGGCCACCGCCTTCCCTCTGCCCACTGCTGTTGGCCTGCAGCCCGTGTTTTTTCCGAGGATGCCGTCGGCAGCGCCTCGGGGCCACCACCTTCCCGCCTCGCTTGGCCTCCTGTCGGCCTCGGCGCCACCTTCTTGCGGCCTCCCTTGCTGGCCCTCGGCGGCGACCAGCATGGGTGCCTCCTCAGCGTGGCCAGCGTGCGCCTCAGCCCCTTTTTTTTTTTTTTTTTTTTTTTTTTTTTTTTTTTTTTTTTTTTTTTTTTTTTTTTTTTTTTTTTTTTTTTTTTTCTCTCTCTTCCCCCGAGGATGCCAGCGGCAGCGCCTCGGGGCCACCACCTTCCCTCCGCGCACGACATCATGCTGGCCTCCTCCGCCTCGCGTGGTTTTTCGAGGATGCCCAGGGCAGCGCCTCGGGGCCACCTCCTTCCCTTCTCTCTTGGCCTATCCCCAGCCGCGGCGCCACCCTCTGGCGGATGCTTGCGCTCTGCTGCGGCTAGCACTGGTCCCAGCTGCTCCCTCACTCGCCTCCTCGCCCGAAGCCAGCTGCTGTGGTGGTCCTTCGCGCAGCAGCCGTGCGGCCTGACCTCAGGGAAGGCCCGAGGCCCCTCCGCCACCCGCATGGCGCCCTCCACGCTCTGCTTGGCGATCTCGACGATGACTGGCGCGTGCGGGTACACGGGCGATCCCACCGCCACCTGGGCGCCCCGCGCGAGCAAGCCGCGTGACACCAGGAAGTAGTCGATGACCCGCCCCGACGCCATGCAGGTGGGCCCAGCAGGTCTGATCACCGACCCGTCGAACATAGCCAGCGCCCCGCCAGTCTGGAGCTCTTCCTCGCTGAGGTTCCAATCCCCGCCGATGACGTACTCTCTGCGGTTTTGTCGTAGCCTCCTCGCCAACCTCTTGAGACTCGACATGTTGCTGAGGTTGAGGCCCACCCCCGCCTCCAGGTACAGGTTGTCGAGGAGAAAGCCCCCGTCGCACACGCCCGACACCCAGTGCACGTGCACCCTGCCGTCCACGACCACCGCGGCCTGGTGATCCTGGACCTCCGCCATCCCATGGCACCGCCGTACCATGGTGATGAGCCCTCCTGTGCCGAGCCCTCCTGACTCAGCTCTCACCGCTGGCGAGCCCCTCGCCCGCCATCCTTGGCTGCGGAGCTGAGCCTCAGCATCTCCGCACCTGCCCTCCAGCAGCCTGGTCTCCTGCACCAGGATGGCGTCGCTGTCCTGCACCTCCTTCACCATCAAGCACTTGTCCAGGCTGCTGAACGCTTTGACATCGATGGTGCAGATGCGCCAGACGCCAAGCCCCTTGCTCGGACTCCGCGCCCATCTCGTCGTCCCCCATGCGCATCTTCTTGGCCTCGTTGATGAGGGCCTCCGCCGCCTTCCTCTTCTCGGGGTCCTCGAACTGCTCCTCGAGATCTTTCCACGCCTGCTGCGCCTCAGGGGAGGCCTGCTGATGCTGAGGCTCGGCGCAGACAGTCGGCCTAGCCGCAGCCCCTGCCCCCGCAGCAGCACCCGCACCAGCCGCCTCAGGAGGCGGCCGCGCTGGGCCTGGCGCTCCAGGCACACCCCCTGCGACCTTGCTCTTTCACTCGAACAGCTGATCGACCGCCTCCGGCAGCTTGGCGAACTCATCACCGAGCACTGGGCTCGCCGCCACCCCGCTGGACTTGGCCCAGCCCTCGAGCGCCGCCTTGACCACGTGCAGTGATGCAGGGGCGGCGGTCGCTGCAGCAGCCGCCTCAGCAGCCACCTCGGCCGCCGCCAGCCTGATGCCTTGAGCTGCCAGCGCCTCGCGCGCCTTGGCGGCTGCCTCAGCCAGCTCCTGCCGCAGCTGCACCAGCTTCTCGGCGAGGTCCGCCGACTCGTTGATGGCCGCCCGCGCCTTCGCCTTGGCCTGCCCCAGCCAGTGCTCCGTCCGCTTGACGTTCTGCGCCTTCTCATCTGCCAGGAGCTGGGCCGCCTTTACAGCCTTGTCCTTGGACAGGTCGTCGCCCAACCCTTCCCGCACCAAGCGCCTGGCCTGCTGGAGCTCGTTCCTGACCTTCGCGCCGAAGAACTTGGCCGCGATGGCGAACTGCGCGTCCGACATGTTGAATAGCTCGCGCCACTCGTCGTCGCTGAACACCACCCCCGTGGCGCGTTGACCCCCATCTCCGCCCTCGTCGCCCCGCCACCGCGGCGCGCGGGTCGGAGGCGCACCGGCTGCGGCGCGCCCTCCACGCCCGCCGCCACCAGCGCCAGGAGCACCGCCACGACCCGAAGCAACCTGCGTGAGGAAGCTGCCCAGGACCCTCTGCGACGGCTTGCCACCCTGGCACCCATAGCGGCAGCGCCTGCGCTCGGCGAAGTTGTAGTAGCTGCATCCCTGGCAGACCAATCCCACGGGCCCATCTGGGCGTCCTCCTCCACGCCCCTGTCCCACGCCGCCGCGCCCCATCGCGCGCGCGGAACTGGAGGAGTGGCGCCCGACTGCCAGAGACGATCCGTGGAGTCGCCCCCGCGAGCCTGCCAGGCGCATCGGGCCTTCCCCGCGCCGACCTGTCAGACGAACTGTCTCGCGCGAGTTGATCTCTTGCACTGTAGCTGAGATACCGTCTGACCCCCTGCGACAACAGCGCCTGCTGCCGCTTCCTTGGTCCTCGCCCGGCCCGATCCCTGCGCTGTAGCTGAGAACGAGCACCGAAATTTGGCTCTAGCTCCACCCCCCGCTCCTCGCAAGAGGCTGACCACAGAGCTCCCCCCTGCCATTTCGCGCCGAAGTCATCGAGGTGCACCGATCCACTGCCTCGATTGTTTGCCCCAGCAGTTCTCCTCGCGACTGCACGCCCCCTTTCTCGCACGGGTTGCTCCCAGCGTTGTGGCTGATGTACTTGGGCTCCAGCTTTGTCCCCCGCTCTTCGCAAAGGGTCCCTGAGCTCTCGACGAAATTGGGCTCTAGCTTCACCCCCCGCTTCTCGCAAGAGGCTGACCACAGAGCTCCCCCCTGCCCTTTCGCGCCGAAGCCACCGAGGTGCACCGATCCACTGCCCCGATTGTTTGCCCCGGCACTTCTCGCACGCGCAGTGCCGAGCAGGTTAGCTAGATAGCATTTGGCTCCGGCTTCAACCCTCGGCCATTTCGTGCCTGAGCGAACCCCAGCACTGTAGCTGATGATGCGTCGCCCCTGCTTTCCGCTTGCCCCTTCTGCGCGTTCGCACACGAGCTGATCCCAGCGCATGCACTTGAAATTTGCTCGCAGTGCCAGATCCTGCTGCCAATGCATGCCCTTCTCGCATTGCCAGCTCCTGCTGCCACTGCTTGCCTTCGCACCCGAGCTGATCCCAGCTTTGTAGCTGATGACGTTACTCGTGCACTGCTCGCCTTTCTTACATGTCTTCACCTTGCCCCGATCCCACCGCTGTGGTTGATGGCATCGGGCTCGTCCTTGATCGGTTTCCCTCCTCACCGCCGGCTTCCAACGTCGCGTCGGATGTAGCTGACGGCATCGGGCTCGTCCTTTACCTGGACGCAGTGCCAGCGCCTGCTGCCACTGCCTGCGTTCTTGCTCGCACGGGCTGCTCCCAGCGTTATTGTTGATCGTGGCCCACCCGCACTTTTCTCGCAGCGCCAGCGTCGGCTGCCACTGCTTGCCCCCTTTCTCCCACGGGCTGCTCCAAGCGGTCCTGCTGATCGTGGCCCACCCGCACTTGCTTCGCAGCGCCAGGGCCAACTGCCACTGCTGGCCTTCTCGCACGGCTTGACCCCTACACTGTAGCTGATCATGCCCATGTTTTGCCTGCACTTCCGCCGCGGCGCTCGGATGGCCGGCGCTGCAGTTCGCCAGACTGACGAGGGGAAGGGGGAGGAGGAGCAGGAGGACGAAGGGAGGGCGGAGGGAGCCCAGTCTCCTGGCGGGTGCGCTCGCGCCTGATCTCAGCATTGTGGCTGATGACGTGGGACGCCACGCCTCTCGATCTCGGCTCTCGCGAGCAGGGCCATTTCGAAGTTTGCCCGCGAAACACCCTTGCGCGCTCCGTGCAGGGGGCGGGCCGCTCGGGCGCGAAATTGCTGAGGAGGAGGAGGAGGAGGAGGAGGAGGAGGAGGAGGAGGAGGAGGAGGAGGAGGAGGCTGGAGGAGGGAGGGAGGGAGGAGGAGGAGGAGGGGAACGAGGAGGAGAAGGAGGAGGAGGAGGAGGAGGAGGAGGAGGAGGAGGAGGAGGAGGATTTTCATAGGTCACAGACCTCATGTTCACAGCCATGCGCGCCTCTATCCGACGTTCTGCATTCCGGCGTTCTAGCTTTCACGTGTCCACTGTTTGCC